TCTCTTTCTTGCTTGCTTTCTTGCTTTCTCTCTCTTTCTCTCTCTCTTTCTTGCTTTCTTTCTCTCTCTTTTTCTTTCTCTCTTTCTCTTTCTTTCTCTCTTTTTTTCTCTTGCTTTTTCTCTTTCCTTCCTTCTTTCATCTTTCTTATCTCTCTTTCTTATCATTCTATCTTTCTTTCCTATTTTTTCCTGCTTAAAAGTAAAACAACAGAAACAAAACAATTCAACCTATGGGAGACTTTAGAGGCTGGACAGATATTTTAATGGCAATCCACAGAATACAAGGTAGCACACAAATTTTAAAACTGTCTTGTCATTTTGCATCATTTCCCACCCACCTGGAGCACTGGGGTACAGCCCAAATGGCCAGGGCCAACTTTGACCCCTGTCTGGCCTGTGGGGCCTGGGTTTCCCCAGTGGTCCAGAAGCTGCCCTGGAAGCCCAGGCTGGAGGTGGCCGTGGGTGACATTGCCTGGCTGCAGGGAGCACTCAGGAAAGACTGTGGATGACTCCATGCTGTCTGCATGCAGCTGGGGCAGCTCCTGAGGGACTCAGTCATGCCAGGACCTTGTCTGCAACAACCTAGTGGAGCTTTGTATCTCCCCAGTATTGTCTAGCCACTAGAATACTACAATCTGCAAAGCTGTTTGGTTTTTGGTTTATTGGTTTGGTTTATTTTTTTTCCTTCCTTTCTCTATGGTGGAAATGATTGCCCTTTTCTATTGAACATCTCTGGAAAAAAAAAAAAAAGAGAAAACCCACATAAACCCCCTAGTGACTCGAATTGGCTAAAGCACTTAATAGATTTGCATTGCATTAGAAGATTCTAGTGGGAAAAAATTCAGCAAAGTTTTGGGGGTAAAAATGCAAACACTCAAATATTGCAGATATTAAATAGTTAATTTTGCTATTTCAAAAAAAATTACCATTTCCATTTTTCTATTCAGTTACTTAGTTTTGCAATTTGTTCTCCTGCATTGCATAAAGTATTTTAAAACATTAAACAAGATGAAATGGCTTGCTCCTGGTTGAGAAAAATATTTTTTATTTCGCTAACAATGAACACAGACTGAATAGCCACCTATTTGCCTAGCCCAAATTTTCACTTCTGTAACTCCCTGCCATTTTGCCATGGTTGTTCCCTTGTCTCCTCGAGATGGAACTGAGATGCAGAGAGATTAAACGAATGTCTGAAGTCCCAAGGGGAGTCTGACAGGACATTAGTTGGACCCAAATCATCTTCCCTCCTTCCCTTTTGCTAGCACCTTCCTGGCTGGCACAGCTCTGCCTGTGGTTATGCTGATAGCCCAGATGGGGACAGGTGTCTTTCAGTAACAAGTCCTTACATGAGATTATTGAGAGCCTCAGGCACAGCAAGGCCTCTGGATACTACAATAGCACAAATACTACCTAACAACAACGTGATACAGAAAGCTCCTGCAGCCAAATATCCTAAATTCCCTGTATCAAAACCCTGACAAACTAAATGGTTCAAAATTCCAAAGCATGGGGTCACAATATAACTCATGTGGAAGGGAAAAAAATTAAAAACCAGCCTCTTGATGCATTTGAAAATGCCATCTACTCTGTTTTTTCTTCTCTTTTCTCTCAGCAAGCATCTCTGCACTCTTCTTTTACACTCCTTGCTCTTTTCTCTCAGGTAGTGTTTAACACTATGGTTCTTTGTCCTCCTGATGGAAAATTCCAGATGGAAAGAAGTGTGTTTCACAAGGAAATGATCATGTTAGTGGAATGAATCTTTTCGATACTGTAACATGAAATATGATCTTCCTTTTTGTTA